GACTCTTGGTTTTGGCTCAGGTCATGATCTCAGGGTAATGATCTCAGGGTCATGAGATCAGGCCTCACATCAGGCTCTGTGCTGGGCATGCATTCTGCCTGAGATTCTTTCCCCCTCCGACTCCCTCCTCTTCTGCTCCTCCCCCCCAATGCACTCTCTCTAAAATAAATTTTTTTAAAAATCTTAAAAAAAAGACAAGAAACAACTAGTGTTGGCGAGGATGTGGAGAAAAGGGAACCCTCACACACTGTTGGTGGGAAGGCAAACCAGTGCAACTACTGTGGAAACAGTATGGAGGTTCCTCAAAAAATTAAAAATAGAATTATGATATGATCCAGTAATTCCACTACTGGGTATATAAAGAAAACAAAAACACTAATTGAAGATATACGTACCCCTGTGTTTATTGCAGCATTATTTACAAAAGCCAAGACATGGAAGCAGCCCAAATGTCCATAAAGAGATGAATGGATATGGATAGAATATTACTCAGCCATAAAAAAGAACAAAATTTTGCTATTTGCCACAACATGATGGACCTAGAGGGTATTATGCTAAGTAAAAGTCAGACAGAGAAAGACAAATACCATATGATTTCATTTATATGTGGAATCTAAAAAACGAAAGAACAAACAAAAAGACCAGACTCTTAAATACAGAGAACACCCTGGTGGTTGCCAGAGGGGAGATGGGTGGGAGGATCAGCAAAATAGGAAAAGGGGATTAAGAGGTATGGACTTGTAGTTATAAAATAAAGAAGTCACAACAATGAAAAGTATAGCACAGGGAATATAGTTAATAATACTGTAATAACGTTGTGCGGCGACAGATGGTGGTTACACTTATCATGGTGAGCACTAAGTCATGTACAGAATTGTCAAATCACTATGTTGTACCCTTGAAACTAATATAACATGGTATGTCAGCTATACTTCAAGAATAATAAAAAAAGAAAATGACTTTATAAATGATAACCCCCTTGTTCCTCTCTCAAACAGCAGGTAGAAATGACAAGGTGTGCACTTATTTCATTAAATTATTGATGAGCCCTGGGTCCTCATGGAATGGCTTGGGCTCCACGGACCCTTGAAGTGCTAGGTCTCAAAACTTGCTTGTTGGGTGATACCGTCTTTTTAAATTTTTATTTATTTATTAGATTTTATTTTATTTATTTTGAGAGAGAGAGAGCACAAGCAGGGGGAATGGCGGGCAGAGGGAGAGGGAGAAACAGACCCCCCGCCAAGCAAGGAGCCCGATGTGGGGCTGGGATCACGATGCTTAATTACTGAGCCACCTAGGTGCCCTTGGGTCATACAGTCTTATGGAAACCATATCTCAGATTCTGTATAAACCCTCTACCCCATTACACTCCACACATCTCCCTCATTCCATTCAAACAGATCACCTTAGATTCCTCTGGGTATCTATTTGCACATGGCCTGCTCATCCTGGCACTGCGGTGTCACTTGGGCTGTTCCTGTAGGCTCCTTCTCCTCCATTTTTATAATTACATGCTTCCCACAAGTCCCCACTCAAAGCTTTGTTCTGCATGAAGTCTTTTATGGGAGAGTAGGGCCTATATTTTCTTTCTTTGCTATTTTTCTGCACTTAAGAATAAAGTTGGGTTTCAATATTCATTTAATACCTCCTATGGTTTGGGGGAGGCAAAAAAGGTTCGTTCACAGACCCTCAAGAAGTGGAAAAGAGAAGTGCACAAAATTAATGCATTCTGAGGCCAAGAAGAAAAGAACAAGCTTTATGGCTATCCAGAGGAAATCACAGAAAAAGGAGGCTGTTGAGCCGGATTTTGAAGGATGCAGATTTTAAGCTGTGGGTGAAGGTGGGAAGCTCGCTTTCTTTTCTTTTTTTTTTAAGATTTTATTTATTTGACAGAAAGAGACACAACGAGAGAGGGAGCACAAGCAGGGGGAGTGGAAGAGGGAGAAGCAGGCTTCCCTCGGAGCAGGGAGCCCGAGATTCAGGGCTTGATCCCAGGACCCTGGGATCATGACCTGAGACGAAGGCAGACGCTTACGCTTAACGACTGAGCCACCCAGGCGCCCTGGTAGGAAGCTTTCTAGGCTGAGAGTAAAGCTGGTTATAAAGTGGTCACACCTACAGAGACATATGAAAATGTATTTGGGGCTGGAATGGGAAGCATTCTAGACTGGTTGGGAAGAGACCGGTTGAGGCACCCTATAGAGGCCCTTATGATGTGCACAGTGGAATGCGAGCCCAGCTTTGAGCCTGGGATTTCAGGATAATAATTCTGGCAGGAAGAAGGAGGGGAGTTTGGATAACGGCATTATTGGTGGAAGGAATACAGATCAGGAGGGTTCCAGGCAGAAGAGGAGCACTGCAACTTAGGCAGCAGTTGGAAAGGGGCAGCCCATTTGTCAGCATCCAGTGTATAATTGCTTCTTTGCGATTCTGGAATTTAAAAGGCTGAAAACTAATAGTTTCTTCTTAAGTTTGCAGAAAATTTATTTTATGGAAAACGTGACCTAAACTGATGTGATGATATTTATGGTCTTTTTTTATCCTACTTCATGGATCAAAAGATGGCCACCATTCTTTTCTGCTTCTCCCAGCCAGAGGTGGTATCTCTTTCCCCCGTTTGAATCTAGGCTGCTCTTGTCACTGGCCTTGACCAATAGAATGTGCTGGAAATGATTCTGTGTAGCTCTCAAGGCTGGGCCTTAAGACATCTACAACTTCTGCTTTTGCCCCTCTTGGAATGTTCTGGAAGACAGTCGCCATGTAGAAGTCCAGCTACTCTGAGCCTACCATACTGTGAGGACACCCAGGTTTCATGAAGAGAGAGAGGCTACGCAGAGGAGCACTGAAGTGCCAGAATGGGAGCCAAAAGAACGTCAGCGAAGCCTTTTTGGACTCTCTAGAACTGCCCAGCCATCAGCTGAAAGCTGCTGAGTGAACGACTCCATGCAACACAACACCGAGCAGAAGAAACTGTCAGCCAAACCCTGCCCAAATTCCTGACCCCCAGATTCATGAGCAAATAAGATGGTTGTTATTTTAAACCACTAATGTTTTGGGAGCGTTTATTACATTGCAAGAGATAACCCAAACACACACTTACGTCATTTATATATTTTTTATTGCAGAAAATGACTGCATTTGATGAAAGAGCCACTCTAGACCTCACCAAGGGTGTTATGTAGGATATGGTCTGTGTATATTTTACCTTTTTAAATTAAAAAAAAAAATCTGAATTTTGAAATTCACCTGGGCCCAAGGGTTGTTTTTTTTTTTTGAGAAGGAATTGTCCTTTGTATTACAGAAATAGAGTTGTCTAGACTTCCTTCCTGTCTTCCTGCATTCACTAAAAGTCATGCATGATGCGATAGACTTTTTCCCAGCCACTTTCTATGTGCACCCCTGATCTCCCCAGCTGCATGGCCAGGTTCTCTAAAGCACAAGCTCTCAAACTAAAGTGTGTATCAGAGTTCCTTAGAGGGCCGGTTCAAACACAGCTTCTTGGGCTCTGTCCTCAGAGTTTCTGACTCAGTGGATCTAGGGTGGGGCTTGAGAACTTGCATTTCTGACAAATTCCTAGGTGAGAGAACCATTGCTCTAGGGGGGAGTGCCATTATTTCCATTTTTGTTGCATTTACCCACCAGCACAAGGTGCTTAGTAAACTCTCATGGATGGAATTTCTCCAAATCCTCATCTTTATAATGCTGTTGAAGCCTTAAGTTTTACTCCCTGAGGTAATCCTGACAAGGCCCTAGACTTAAAAAGAAACGAATTCCTTGTTTTATTAGATTCAGTTTTTCTTTCTTCTCACCTGATAGGACATGGTGAATAAAATGTCCCTTCTGACCTCTTTTTTGATCTGTCTTGGAGCAGATCAGAGGGAAGGCCTTTCCTGTGACCTGGAAGCAACCCTCTATTTGTGACCAAATTATTATTCCTTTCCTTTTGGTGGTTTCCGAATAAAATTCGGTTCTTGCCAGCCAGCCTTTTACAAAAGAGAGGGAGGGACCACCCAGAAGATCCTCTTTTTGGCGAGAGGACCAGTCTCTCAGAGCCTGCATTTTACAGGTGGCACCACTGAAGCCGAAAGGGGTGGAGCCCACTGGCTCAGGGTCATACAGCTGAAACATGCAAGTGCCGCGTTGGAGCTCAGGTCTAACTTGACCCTGTAACAAGCTGTCTCACTCACGCGGCACCCTCATCCCCTCCCCCCTCCCAGAAAAGCACAGCCCGTTTGACATAACCCACACCTTTCAACCTTCCACCCCCCCAAACATTTCCTTCCGAGTGCGACGGGATGGTCACACCGATTCATCGTGAGCGGGCACCCCCCCCCCATCCAAAACTCCCCCGTCCAGTCTCCGGGCCAGGCGCCGTCACCTAGACTCCACAAATCCCCGATAGAGCCACTGCGAGCGCCTGGAAGAGTCTCAACCTCGAAGCCCAGCGATTAGGTTGGTTCCTCAAATTGTTCCCGACAGGAGGGGCAGGAAATAACGCCGGCCCTCGGTGGCGGCCGCAGAGGGAGGGGGAGAAGCTCAGGCTGGCTCTCAGGCAGTCGCGGCGGCCACGCATCGATCTCGGGTCTAAGGTCCGGCCGGGTCAGAGTTCCGGCGGCTCTTTCTCGCGTTGGAGTCACCTCCCGACCCCCGGCCTCTGTTATCGCGCAGTGGGTGGCTCCCGGAGCCTCGGAGCCCCTCAGGGGCCTCGCTTTCCCGGCGGCCGCGCAGCCCCGGCCCCGCCGCCAGGTGGAAGGAGACAGGTCAGCGGAGCGGCCGGCACGAGGGGGCGGGGCCTGGCGGAGGCTGGGCCGGCCGGTTGCAGCAGGCGCCCGGGACCCCCCGCGCCCTCTACTCCGCGCGGCCAGCCCCGCGACCCTGGCCGCACTGTCCGCCGCAACAGGTGAAGAGGCTGCGGGCCCGCGGCGCCTCCGCGGGGCGGTCCTTCTCCAGCCCGCCTCGCGCCCGCCCCTCTCCACGCCCCCTCCCCTCCTCCCGGCCTCCGGCGCCTAGCTCTGCAGCCCGGCGGTCTCCCCTCGCGCGGTCTCCTCCTCCTCCCGGGCCCCAGCGCAGCCCGAGAGCCCCGCGCCGAGGAGCGGGGGGCGCCGCGCACTCGCACGACACGCGCCGCGGCGGGACACTCCCGGGGGGACGCCCCCGGCGCGCCTCCCTCCACGCGCCCGCCGCGCTCCCCTCCCCCCGCCAGTGTCCCCAGGGCTCCGGGCCGCCAGGGCAGCGCCAGACGCGCGGGGGGTCCCCGAGGAGGGGCCAGCCCGGCCGAGGCGCGGCGATGGAGGAGCCGCAGCGCGTCCGCTCGCAGACCGTCACCACCACTGCCAGCTCCTTCGCCGAGAACTTTTCCACCAGCAGCAGCAGCTTCGCCTACGACCGGGAGTTCCTCCGCACCCTGCCCGGGCTCCTCATCGTGGCGGAGATCGTGAGTGCGGAGCGCGCGCGGTGGGGTAGGGGGGGCGGCGCTGGTGGACTCGGGCGTCGTGCCTCAGCAGACCCGCTTCCAGGGAACCCTTTTTGCTCAGTCTCGCCTTCTTCCCAGAGTGCAAAACTCAGAGACCCCCTCTCCGAGCGAGGCCCGATCACCTTGCGCTCTCTTGGGCAAGAGGGTCGTGACCCTCAGGATGTCTACTGGGGGAGAGACCCGACTTACTGGGCCCTCTCGGGGGTCGTGGCGTCTCTTGGGAGCGGGATGCTTGGTGGGCGTGGAGTTTGTTTTAATGACTGTCATGGACACCTGATGTCTCCCTTCCCTGATCTCCACGTGGATGGCTCCTCCCTGAAAGCAAAGCTTTCTAAAATATAGGGGAGCGGAGGGGACTTTTTTCTTTGCTTATTTATCTCCCTGGTAGTAAAATTGAGGTGAATTAAGAAACTTTTCCTGAGTAAAATCTGAGGGTTTCAGCCCCGTTGAGGACCAGAAGTTTTCCTGCCTGGTTTAGGCTCAGAACATTCCTGGGGAGGAGGCCTGCCTTGGGCGTTCTCCTCTTCATAGGACATGGAGGCTAAGAGATCAAGTGATTTCTCCTGAAGTCCCAGCCAGTCCTTCTTGGCTGGAGCCCTGTTAACAGCTAGTGATGGCTACTGTTTATTGTCCTCACCATGGGCAGGGGTCCTCTCAAGACCTTTAAATGCCTTTGTGCCCTCATGTAACTCACACAACAGCCCTATCCTGTAAAGGGGGCTTCAATTATTCCATTTTACGTGGGAAGAAACTGAGGCAGAGCGAGGGGAAGTCAGTCACACCTGGGGGTGGTGGGACTGCGATTCAACCCCAGGCCAGCCTGACTCCAGGGCCCTGCTCTTAACTGCTAAGGGGTATCCTTCCCAGCTGTCTCACCAGTCCCCTTTCCATTGTATGTCACACACATTCATTTACACATTTGTGGAGTTGAAATCTAGCTTATGTGGGGTTAGAGAACGCGAGCTGTGGTGGTATAGACGTGGCAGAAGACTCAGATGCTTTCTCCGAGAAGCCCCCAACAAAACCTGTGTACATCAAGTAGCTTCCCTGCTCCTCGGAAATCTCAGACCCCACCCCAGAATCTACTGAATTGATTCCCCTGCACATAAAGTTTGAGAAGCGTTGGCTCAGCTCAGCCCCTAGCTGGTTCCCGCAGTTGGTATTGAGGACTTCAGGAGACCCGATAAAAAAAACTAAGGTATTGGACTCACCTTGCAGGGCCTGGCTTATAGGAATTCGACAAATATTTGCTGTGTGAATGAAGTAGTTGGCAGGCTTCCCTGCTTGAGCAGAACAAACAAAGCTAAAGTCAGAGATGGGGGCTTCTCCCCCAGGGGTGGTTTCGGATCAGGAATGAAGTAAAATGCCTCTTGTTTTCTGATTTCTGACCAATGTGCTCTATGTTCCATGCTTTTTCAGAAAATAGAAAAGTGAAGGACAAAATGTAAATGGCCCACAAACCCATCCCTAGAAATAACCACGAGTGGTTGATACTTTGGCATGTATCTTTTTAGATCTCAATAAATTTTTTTAAGATGGAAAACAGGTAAGAAAAATTACCCATACCACTACAATAGTTCAATTTTTATTTTTGACAACTATACATGCACATGTTTTAAAGAGTCAGTGTTACAGGCAGAGTTGTAAGTTTGCCCCAGCGTCTCCTCACTTTCCAATCTCTTAGAGCCATAAACGTTTATAATCTGTTCCTTGATTTTTTTCCCCCCAGTTGTAGGTGTTATCCACTGGCTTCCGCCTCTGAGAGAAGAGGCTTTAGCCCTCTTTGACCCATCCCCCCACCCTGTATTATACATATAGCCTTCCTGTCTCCCACAATATTTTCGGTGAGATTAATAACCAGTGTAGTGTTGACCTTAGGACACCATAGACATCGTTCTCAGTTCTCAGTGGTCTATGAGCCCTTTTCCTTTCCTGCCCAATTTGTTTCCCTGGAGTTGGTAATTTTCTTTTTCCATTTCTTCATTCTCTAGCTGTTTAGTCACTAATTTTACCTTAATTGTCAAAATCTCCTATCAGTCAAGTGAGAGACATCTGGGAGTCTATCGAGGTCATCTCATGACCAATCCTGTCTGGGAGCCTCTGACCTGCCCGTCCCCCACCCCCCCGCCCCGGCCTGCTCACCTGGGCATGTGGTCTCCTGCAGCAGCACCCTGGAGAGTCTTTCTCTCCCCTTCTCTTCGGGGTTGGGTCCCCTGCTTCTCCTGACCAGTGTCCCTGTCTGTTTTGCCTTACTCCCAGTGGGGGGACCACACAGACTTTAGTCGTTTCCTGAGAAAGGATTATGTGTGAATTGAGATTTACATCTTCCAAAATACCTTGAATTGACTGTTACGCATAATTAATAGTTTGACTAGGTAAAGAATGTTAGATTGGAACTTGTTTTCCTACAGAATTTTGAAGGCAGTTCTCCATTATCTTTGAGCTATTCTGTTTTTTGTTTTCATAAATTTCAATTCTTCATCCTTTTTTTTCCTTTCCCTTCTGGATCTTTCTCCTAACAGATCTGTCAGATCACACTAATGTGCTTTCCTCTGAGTCCATTTTCTTCCATTATAATGAGGACCTCATGTCTTCTTTCAATCCGGAAAGCTCATGTATGTGTAAGGAGATGTTTTGTTTTTTTTTTTTTCCAGGACAATAAACACCTTTATTACATGACCGAAGATAGGAGGAAGATTTATTTGCCTTTCCGGGCTTTGATTTTCCTCAGATAGAACTCTAGCTCCTTGCCCTCTAGCACGTAGCCATCTGCTCGGCCACATTGGCCTGGTCTTGAAGCAATGCACGCTGCAAGATAGTATGCATTCATTAGCAAAATAAGAGTGGGGCCCTACCCAAACCTAGGTGTCTCCTTAAGGAAGTCCATGTTGGTTCAGGTATCCTGGGGGCAGGCTTGAAGCCCAGTGTCTAAGGAGATTTTTTTAAACTGATTTTTACCTTTCTGTTTTCTGTTTTTTTTTTTTTTTCTGAAACTCCTTTTATCCTTTTTTTCTATGCATATATTTTCTTGTAATTTTACTCATGGGTTCGGACATGCCGTGTTCAATTACCATGCCATAAACATTTCTCAGGATCTCGGATTTCTCAATTATTATAGTTTCTGTTGTAAGGAAGTACCGTATTTGATTTCCTCCATTTTCATGTTTTGGGGGTGCCTGGGTGGCTCGGTTGGTTGGGTGTCTGCCTCTTGATTTTGGCTCGGATCTCAGGGTTGTGGGATGGAGCCTGCACTGGGCTCTGTGCTGGGTGTGGAGTGTGGAGCCGGCTTGCGATTCTCTCTCCCTCACCCTCTGTCTCCCCCCCCACCCGCTGCTCATCCACAGCACACACGTGCACTCTCTTTCTCTCTCAAAAATAAATAAAAGTTCAAAAAAAATAAAACCTAACATGTTTCTAGGTTTTACTAGTATAGCTAGTGCTATGGCAATTTTCCTTCTTTGTTCCTCTTTCCACATTTATCCAGTGATTTTTTTCAAGGAAAAGTTCTTTAAAGTACAATTGTATGTCAAAGAGTGCACAAATTTAAGGGTTTTGTTACATATTCTGAAATTATTTTTCCACGAAGTTCTGCTGGTTTAAATTATTATCAGTAGTGTAAAGCTATTAAACTAAAAATACTTTTTTAAGTTAGGGGAATTTCTAAAATAAAAAATGTGAAGGATCATCTTAAATGATATATGCTTTCTTGATCTAAGATACTTTTTTGTTCATGTTTTAATGTCTAAATCAGGATGTGGCTTACCGTGGCTGGTTTCTTGGAGGTAATGCAATCCGGTACCACTGATTCTTTATGGGGGGTGAGGGGAGCAGGTTTCAAACTATTGCTGTCCCCGCGCTGGCATTAAGATAGACCTGTCCCCAGAAGAATATTACTTTCTGCCTTGAAAAAAACCCAAATACCGAGACAAAGAATTGCTAAGACTCTGACTTCCTGCTTGAATCTGGGAGAAATGAAATAATCGAGAACAAAACACAATGTTTCCCCAAATCTGTTGTCAAATTCGCTAGCCCTGGCTTTCCCCCAGGAGTGAGTGGTCATAACTAACCTACTCAAACAGTTCAGGCTGTGCCAATGTAACATTGTGTTGAAACCAAATTGTAGTCATTTCCTTCTATTTAAAGTTTTATAACAAGCTAGAAGCAATCCAGTACTTGACCTGTGACTTGTAGGATGCCGTGATCTTATGACAATTATGAGTACTTGAAGAATTAAAGTGATTTGTCAGAAGCTGAGTTAATTGCACCCTTCCTGTTATCGGTGACTTTGAAATGAATTACAGCATCGTGTAATAATGTTAGGTCACCTTTCATATGCTTACTGTCATGAGCAGACTTAGGTGGGGAAGGACAAATAGAATTTACTGAGAGCTGGAATCTAAATCATACTATCCTGTTGAATTCTTAAAAAACAAAAAAACAGTGAACGTAGTTTCCATTTCATAAAACAATACCTAGTCTTTGTAGAAAAAATAGAAAAGTGTAGTTAAGAAAAAACCCCCTGTCATTCTAGCCCCCATGGTGGTTCCTAACAGGCATGGTACTAGGATTAAAGAAAAAAAAATTGTTTATTGTAATACCTGAAGCTTCTGCTGGTGTTTAGTGCCCTGGGGGTCAGGGTCGCTAAATGTCCTGAAGTGCATGAGACAGTCCCCAACAATGAATTGCTTTACCAATTGCCAACAGCACCACTGTAAAGGAACTCTGAGTGAATCACTATTTAGCACTTGGAATAAACCATTCCAGAATTTTTCAAGTGGTTATGTATCATTTTCTGTATTTTTTTTTTTTTGATGCAGTCACTTGTAAACTATTCTTTGGTTTACTGCTATGGCCATCTGTGCTGGATATCTCCCATTTGTCCCTCAGATCCACTCTACACCCTTCTCCACTCTGTTCTCCACCCTGAAGGCTGACTTGCATGGACCATCTCAAGGGGCTCC